GTGGCTTCACCCGCGTCGGTGCTGTACCTGGTTCTTGGCCAGCAACCTGCCTAAAAGCTGTATATAAGCATTTTTTCCTAACTAAAAAAAAGCTAGGCTTTTGTTTTTTTTAATACTCCTTCTTACCTCTGTTATTGCATATTGAACATAAGTGCTGTTTGGGAGACGGGGGGAGACAGTCATTCATACTGATCTTTCACTGCCTTAAGGTTCATGTTTCGCTACTTTTTGTAGTCAACCGCAGTGCTATATCTCTGCATGCCTTTGCACTGTGCCCCTCTGTATTTGTTCATCCTGAGCTTATTTACATAATAAAAGTATTTCCGTAAAGATGGTGTAAATATTGAAGCCAAGCTTATGGTGGCTCAAATTCTCTCAACAAATAGATACTAGATAGCAGCAAATTTTGTTGTTCAGAGCAGAGTTTTGGAAATTAACCTGCCTCCTAATAGCCTAGTTGCCTGACCTGGACAGGGGGAGGAATTCGGAATCATCGGAGGAGGCAGTAGCATGCTTAAAAGTTTTAGGTGGCTGCTTGATCTTCTGAAGTAGGGAAGTGAAATGAGCTGGAAGTGTGATCCCATCCCAAATAAGGTTGATGCACTATAAGCCAGGGGCTCATTGTGGCTATTTTCAACAGGCTAATGTCATTACGGGGTTGTGGTGCATCTGGGCTGCAGATCCAAGAACCAGTGTTATCTTAACCTTAGTCCTTGTGGGTATTACTGCCATGACCTAAGCCAGTTAATTTGGATATTCTGTGCTTCTTCCACTTTTGTGTCTGCAGGGTAGGCATAATCCTTCGTTTGGTATGCAGTGGGTTATATCTTCTCTACAAACGGCAAAGGTGTTGAAACAGTCTTGTTGTGGGAGGAGAGTACGCTTTCCCTCGTCTTGCCAAGGAAGCTTTTCCCGTGGGCAGATTAGCAAATCAACTGCATTCTCTGCATGTGAGTCAGGCAGGTGAAACTCGGCTTGGAAAAGAACTCCATTGTTATGGAAAACTGCAAGCGCAGAAGGAGTAAGAAAAGGATGTAGAAAATGCACATACCTAACAAAGGATTGGTTGCTCGGTGAGGCAGTGTTAACTGCAGAGACAAACAGGACGCTGAACTGTCTCCCTGTATGGGTGCCAGTTGGGCTAAGAAAAACTGCCCAGGATCTGCAGTCAGAACTTTTGAGGCTGGAACTACTTCAAGTCAGCATAAAAGCAAGACTTGATCTCTGAAATCAACCATTTAGCTTGACTATGTCTTCAGAAATAGAATAAAACAAACCTTTGTCTTTATTCTGCCACTTCTGCGATGCTAAGTCCTGTCTGTGGTTCACATATCTGTCAACCCACTTTATTATAGCTCTTACTCTCACGTTTCACACTAACACTTTAGGTCTTTTTGGTGAGCATTTTTAATATTTTTTTTTTCAACCTAACAGGTTGATATCCACAAGTGGTGTGGTTTAACAGCAATTGCAAAGCATTGCTTTATATCTGATAGAAAAACATTAATAAGAAGAGAGTGGTAATATTTGCTCTTCCAGTTTTCTACAGTAATTTAAGTCTTTGGAATGGCATACAAATAGTATGGCTGCAATTTGATAACATCAACTACTTACTGACAGACAGGTGCTTAACATAGCACTGGACACTGCACTTCATTATAGTACTCTGAGAACTGCTGTCAGCTTAGAATAAACGGTCTGCTTCCGGGCATCTCTGGGATCTTCCTCAGCTAAGCTATAAGCCTGAGAAAAGAGGCATTGCTTGGCTAATTATCATTTACATTATCTGATATCTGTGTAAGCTATGTTTTTCAAGCTGGTTTTATGGCTTCCATTATTCACAGCTCAGGTTAGGGACCTGGGATTTCTGTATTACACAAGTAAACTTTGTAGCCTTTGACCGTATTGCCAACATAACCATGTGGCTTGAAGATCTGAGAGCAGGATTTGTATAATTCTGCCCTGTTGTAATTACACCCCATATAGGCCAAAATGACTGCTTGGCATTTGAATTAATTTTCTTTAGGACTGTTGTTTTGTATAATTTAGACTTCAGTCTTCATGCAGTCTACTGCAAATATTTGTCCATGTCATTGTACGGGCAAAAAGTTTTCTCACACCTCAGTTTTCCAGTGAAGCCTGCTTGTGCTTGGAGCTTGTCAAATACTTGTTAAGTGGAGCTAGGGTAACTTAATTAAAAACTCTCAAGAGTACCAATATATGCTGTATTTCTGCACACCTTTTTAGCAGGCCGCTCAGTCTAGACAGGATATTAATGCTATACATCAGACTTCTGTAGTAATAACTTGAAAGGAACAGCTATCTCAAGTTGTGCTGCTTTTGAGAATCAATCCTGGAAACCACACATGTATTTCACGTATTTCTTGTGTGAGAATTCTTTTCTTTTAAAATGTAAGGTGTAAGCATTTTTTATTCTGGAATTTTGTCAAAACTCATTAACAGAGTAACAATGGTGCCATCCTTCAACACTGTTCATGGTTTGTTGTACACAAACCTGCTTGATGAGGAAGACGACTCCTTTATACTCCAGTTGGGTGGGTTTTTTTGTGGCTAAAATAATCCACAAATACTGATAGAACCTGAGATGAGGTTAAAATAATTCTCCCCCAGACAGTCAAGTTCCATGTCCATACAGTTTAGCTTGGTGGATGTCAGACCTTTTGGAACAGTGCGAGTTCATGGACAGTATCTGTGCAGTTTAAACTTTTAGCATGAGAGGACTGTGTTGGGTCCGGAGGGGTTCTGAACTGAGCTGTAGGAAGGCCATCTGCAGAGATTGACCATCTTGCCCATGAATTGGAAGGAGATCCCAGATGACAGGCCCTGTTGCATCTTCATGCACAAAGTTGGTCTGTTGAAGTTTCAATTCAGACACAGTGTGACACACATTGTTCTTTCCTTAGTGATCACTCGTGCATGGCTTTTGGCATTACATTCCGAGTTTCAGTTCTGAGGGCAGCATGCCCTTTTTTACTGCATACCTGATTTTTCAGGCCATCTAAACTGAGGAAACTTCTACTGCAGTTAGGTTAACCTGCTGCAAAGTTTCCATGAGTTCCAGCACTTGGGTAATCTGGTACTGCCACGTGAAAGGATAGCGGTGCCCTGGGGTACTTGAAGCAGTTTCTGTTGTAACTGTTCAGATGGTAGGAGCACCTGACAGCCATTTTAACAAGGTATTTTTAATATCACTGGTGATGTGGAAAAGCATTTTGGTTGTTTCTGTAATCCTTCAATAGGGATATAGGTTGTCTTTTGGATAATACAGAGAAGAAAAATTGTCAAGTGTTTGAAAACCAGTCTTAATTTTTCTGTTGATGAGGCCATCTTTAATTCTTCAGAGTAAATCACAATGTTGAGTTTATTTTTATAAAGGACAAAAAGTCTCTACTTCAGTAACAGCAACTTCTTAATTATTATTTTTTCTTACTTTTAGAGAGTAGTGGAACCAGCAGTTCGAAAGGAAGAAGTTTTGCTGGCCAGAAAGTTCCAAATACAAATAATGCTTCTGAAGAGTTATACAAAGTGGATGAATTTGCAGCAAAAGCCCTCACAGGAAAGCTGACTACAGTTTTTCTTCCCATTGTCTATGTCATTGTCTTTATTATTGGTTTGCCAAGCAATGCGATGGCCCTCTGGGTCTTTTTTTTCCGAACAAAGAAGAAACATCCGGCTGTGATTTATATGGTTAACTTGGCGTTGGCAGACCTTCTTTTTGTTGTCTGGTTCCCATTGAAGATTGCATACCATGTAAATGGCAATAATTGGCTATTCGGTGAAGGTCTCTGCAAAGTACTTGTTGGATTTTTCTACGGAAATATGTACTGTTCCATTCTCTTTATGACATGTCTCAGTGTGCAACGGTATTGGGTTGTAGTGAACCCCATAGTGCATTCAAGAAAGAAATCTGAAATTGCCTTGGGCATCTCCCTTGCTATCTGGATACTGATTTTGTTGGGCACCATTCCATTGTATCTTGTTAATCAGACGGCATATATTTCAAATCTTAACATCACTACCTGCCATGATGTGCTGCCTGAAAATGTTTTGGCTCACGATATGTTCAATTATTTTCTTTCACTTGCAATTGGACTCTTCTTAATCCCAGCTCTCCTCACTGTTGTCGCTTACATACTAATGATCAAGACTCTGAATGCTTCCATCTCAGATGTAAGCACTGGGAAGAAACGAAAAAGAGCAATCAAACTCATTATCACTGTCCTGTCTATGTATCTCATCTGTTTTACACCTAGCAATGTGCTGCTTGTTGTGCACTATTTGCTCCTCAAAACCTACAGCCAGAGCTATCTGTATGTGTCATACATAACTGCACTGTGTCTTTCTACTTTGAACAGTTGTATTGATCCATTCATCTATTACTATATTTCAAAAGACTTCAGAGACAACCTTAAAAATGCTCTTCTTTGCCGAAGTGTGCGAACTACACGGAGGATGCAAGTGTCTCTCTCGTCAAGCAGATACCCCAAGAAATCAAATTCTTATTCTTCAAACTCAAATGGGACTACTAAATCAACCTACTGAGTTTAATCCTAGAAAAGTCAACTTTTATTACTACTGCTGAAAGGAAGTAAGTGACAAGACAGTTCTTTCGGACAAGAGAGTTCTTTTATACAAAAGAGAGTCTGAAGAAACATCTCTGCTGCTTAATTACATTGAAGCCTGGATTCTGGAACTGGCAGCTGCTTACCCTGTATAGAAATCATAAGCAGATAAGTCTTCCCACTAGGCTCGAAAAAAAATCATGACATTTCAGATGCTCTGCACAAATGCTGCTGACGTGAAAGTGAGTTGTAGTTGAAGACATTTTTGTCCAGTATTGAAGTTGTTAAAAAGCAAAATATCACTGGAATGTTATGTAGTGTTGCTAGTATATTTAATTAACAGAGAAATCTGTTTTGTTTGGTTTTAACTGTAATGTATTAAACAGATGAACAGATTGTGTGTGTAGGACCTTGCTCTGTGTACCTGCTTACACTGAACATTATTTTAAACCATAGAGAGAAGGAAAGGAGAATCCATTTCACCAGCTTGGTGTAGACTGCTTATTATCTTTAGTACAGTGTAATTTTATATTGTTTTCCAAATTATCATGCTGTAAATAATAACATGGCAGAAGCCTGTAAGGTTATCCTATTGAGTTGACAAGCTGAACTTGTCAGCTAGCATTGAGATAAAATGTTAGTTGAGATTATATACTGTAACTTAATGCTTGTCAGTGCATGATCTTAAATTTAACAAAGTTTTGATGAATAGCTGTTTGATTTTTATATAATGTGCCTTGTATTTCTTAAGATACCTAAATAAGATTTTTTTTTTCGTAACGCATTTGAGTTGGGTGCTTTCTTTCATGCTCATACAAGCTCTTCAAAATGCTAAGTAGTTCAACTTGCCTGGCTTCAGGTGACAAACATATTATTCCTAACAGTGAATTAGAAGTCTGACAACTGTAGCTGTAATGTCTAAATGGGTTAAGTAAAATTTACCTAATGACGCATTTCATTAGAACGACGCTGTTCCCTGGTCTTATTAGCAGATAACTAAAACCAAATGGTTCAGAACTGTGGGAGAATAATGAGATATAGACAGACATGTTAACAAGATAGCAAACTTCAGCCCCAGTGGATTTCTGACATAAGATCTTAAGTTTTCTTCCCTCACCCAGAATATTTGTGACCACTAAGGAATGTGGAATCACATTTACTTTTAATCTGAAAAGCTGATGGGTATATGTTTGGTGGTAGCATTTAAATGCATTTTTTTCAAATCTTGCAGTCCTGATATGTTCCATAAACACATGGATGGTCACATGAATGCGACTTCAGTCTGAGACTTGGGCTTCACTGGGTCCCTACAAACACAAAATGGAGAAGCTCTCAGTCCAAAAAGTACTCTGACACAGCTGGTATATAGATAGGAAATATTCACCATTTCAAATATGGAGAGTAAGGAATGCGGTAGACCAAACTGCAGCAAGAATTTGAAGAGGCTTGTACATCTTAAAGGCCATAAGTATCTATATAATAAACTATTTATTTCTGTATGCTAGTCTGTTCCTTCCCTTGTCGTGTTCTTTGGTTTCTGTATTCTCCCCCTACTTTGATAACAAGGTGCCTTTTTTCCCCCCTACATAATAAAGACTAATGTGTTTGATATCTCATCTCAAAGATTAATTAAGCTCTAGCTTTCCTTTTTATCTGCTGTGGTTTTGTCTACTAACTCTTAACAGGTATGTAGCATGAAAGTAGGATGTTTGATGGTATTTCAGAGGTCCAAGCTAAAATAGCAACTTACATTAACGAATGTCTCAGGAGCAGAGAGTTTACAGCTCTTTAGATGACGTGGAACACAAATGCTTCTCAGGCATAAACAGTTTGCTCTTCCTGTTCCCTGACAAAAATGCAGGGAAATAATTGCTTATTTATTACGGAACTGAAGATGTAATGCAGCAGCCTTACTGGAAAATAACTGTACATAAGAGGCCATAGTTCACTGGAAGGATTTGGGAAGAAGGGGGTTGCACCATTTTAACAAGCTGCTCACTGAACTCTTCCCTTAGCCTGTGTGTGATAAACAAAATATGAGAATGTCTCTTATCTTGCTGAACAGCCCAGTGTGCTTCCTGCTCTACATACGGTAATGAATAACTTGAAGGAAGGGCATCCAGTTCGTGTGATTACAGCACTACCCATGTTCTGCCAGGAGTCCAAGGGTTACAGGCTGTGTGTTGTAAAGATGATGAATAGTCTGAGTGTGTCTATATAATACCACAAAGATATTGCTCGTGATTCATGGATGACTTAAATTGCTGAAAAAAAATATGCTTAATACAGCCAGTCTTGGGGGGGACAAGATTTATTTATTCTTGTTATTTAAGCAGAAGTACACCAAATAATGCTTGTATCTATACTCTCATTCTTCCTTCTTCCTTCCCCATCATTGATGGGATCACAGTTGGGGACTATTAAACAATCAGGCTGCTCCATTGCAGCTCATGCAAAGTGGGGTGCTGATCCTCTTGACCACTTCTCCCTTCTAGCCTTCTTCAGCTGTGGATTGACAAAGCAAGTTGCAAGGAAGAATCTTTCATCTCTTACGTGCATCAACAGTGAAGGTCCGCCAATGACATGCATAAGAGTTAGACATTACTGCAGTGTTGTTGAAAGCTTTTTGAGAAAAAGTTTCAATGAATAGAACGATTTATGTACTACATGTGACAAACTTTGGAGAATACTGTTGAAAGAGCCCACAGTCATTTAAGTGAAGCTTATTCCTTCAAACTATGCTTGCTGGCAGCTGAAAAGATCTTTTTAGTGTAGGGGTTTTTTTATAATGGAGATTACTAATGTCCTTTTTGCTTTTCCTTTGCTGTTTTAGCAGTACCACCTAGGTTCATGTCTTTAGGGGAGGGCAAGGAGGGACATCTTCCTCTGGACCTGACTTGTGTGGTTAGGAGGGGGAGAACTGCTACTCAGAATTTAATCAGGCATCCAGTTTTTTCTATGATCCGTATCCTCTAGCTATACAATGCAAGTGTGTCTTTCTTTGCTGCAACCCAAGTGCAATGAAGACTAAACTCATCTGCAGGTAAAGATAAATCTAAGAATTATTTTGCTTTGTTCTTTTATTTGTCCTTGAAACAAGGACGAATTACGGGAAATTTTTCCCATCTGTAGCTGCACTGCAAATCCTCATCCTGAATTTAGTATTAGTTATATTGCTTCAATTAACAGAGCAGGTAGACAAAGGGTGGTTGTTCAATTTATTTGAATCAATTCCTTGAATTGATGGTTGTGTGCCTGTGGAGCCAGGTAGTCATGGGGCAAGAACATGTAGCACAGGAGGGTGGAGCTGGCTGCTTAACCTTTTTTGGGACTGTACCCTTAGGCAGGATTGATTGATATAAAGGTGGTCATCTTCAGCTAACAAGAAATATATTCCTGAGCAGGGCCAACTTTGCAATTCAAACACGAAGAGATACAAAAAACTCTCCTCACCTATGGCTGACTTAAGGTTTGGATGCTACAAAAATAATCAGTGCAACATCCATGGAAGCATCGGGGAGTTGGAAATCGGTGTCATTTACATGCACCGTGTTGTGGTTTCACGAACAGCTCGAGCACATGGTGCAAGTGGACTAGTCTTTACCCCAACTACTTGATCATACTGTTCCCTTGTGCTGTCACAAGCATGTGTGACCTTGGGTGGGACTGGATCAGTTCTGGGTTAAAGTTAAACCAGGAGGAGGGAGGAAAGTTTACTTTTGACTTGGAACAGCGTTGGGCTGGTTTGCTGGGTGAGCGCTTGGCTCAGCACAAGGGAGAGGGTCAGACTGCATGTTTCACCACCAACGCCGGCTTGCGCTGCGCAGCTGCGAGGCAAGTGGAAGCACAGGAGCTGCGACGCCTCTGCCTAGCCTCCTACGCACCAGGGAGCCCACGGCCATAGGAGTGGCTCTGCTGGCTCAGACCGAGGGTCCATCCAGTTCGGCCAGGGTAGTCTGCTCACCCATGCCTTTGGAGGTCAACAAGACAGCAAGGTGTCAAGGGATGTGTCAGAGAACAGAAAGACTGCTGCACAAGGCACCTGGCCGACACACCAGATGCATGGTGATACGTGGCCAGGGAGGCTTGTTACTTGGCACCGTTGGAGTGCTGTGCTCTGGGACTGTTGAAATGTGCTCTGAAGTTCAGAAAGGAGACAAGTGAAGGCTGGGGGGCCTAAACTCATTAGCATCTGCCAGGAAAGCTGCTGCTGAGAAAGATTAATCTGTAACTCAAAGAACACGTCTAAAAGCAACAAAAAGAAATTACAGGCAGGGAGGAGTAAAAACAGTGCAGGCATGTATCGTATCCCCCTCAGTACTCTCCCAACATCCAGCTATTTTCAGCATAAGAGTGTCCATAAATCTAATTTGGCTGGTCTAGTAAACACCTGTTGCGTGTGTCTCTGTGAAAATCAACCTCATTTTATTTGCTTTGAACCAGGATCCACTATCCTCACTTTGTGGCCCCTGGTTCTTGACGGAGAAGAGGGAGTTAGTTGGCGTTGTTCAGCCTGGAGAAGAGAAGGCTCTGGGGAGACCTTATTGCAGCCTTCTGGTACTTAAAGGAGGATTATAAGAAAGATGGAGACAGACTTTTTAGCAGGGCCTGTTGCCATAGGACAAGGGGTAGTGATTTTAAACTAAAGGAGGGCAGATTTAGACTAGCCAGAAGGAAGAAATTTTTCACACTGAGGGTGGTGAAACACTGACACAGGTTACCCAAGGAGGTGGTAGATGCCCCATCCCTGGAAACCTTTAAGATCAGGCTGGACGGGGCTCTGAGCAACCTGATCTAGTTGAAGATGTCCCTGCTCATTGCAGGGGGCTTGGACTAGATGACTTTTAAAGGTTCCTTCCAACCCAAAGATTCTATGATGCTATGTGAACAAGTCCCTAACTGTCTTGTCCAGCCACTTGCAGTTTTGTAGGCCAGTATCATATTCCTTGTCAATCAGCTACTTTCCAGGTTGAGCAGCCT